TTCCAGACCAGCCCGGTCAACACAGCAAGGCTGTCTCTGCTTAAAAAAATGTTTAAGAGGGAATGGTAGACCGTGGAATCACCAAGCATGCACCCTTTGGAGGCAGGGTTTTCTCACCAGCCAACGCCCTTGAAGTTGTGCGGGTTGCCTACATACGGATGCTGCCTCCTTTTATTTTCTTGTTTTTTTTTTTGAAGATGGAGTCTCGTTCTGTGGCCCAAGCTGGAGTGCAGTGGCGTGATCTCGGTTCACTGCAACCTGTCTCCTGGGTTCAAGTGATTCTCATGCCTCAGCCTCCTGAGTAACTGGAATTACAGGTGTGTGTCACCACACCCGGCTAATTTTTGTATTTTTAATGGAGATGTGGTTTCACCATGGTCGCCAGGCCTGTCTCAAACTCCTGACTTCAAGTGATCCGCCCGCTTCGGCCCTCACAGTGCTGGGATTCCAGGTGTGAGCCACCGCGCCCAGCTGGATCCTGGCCTCTTCACGGTGCTTGCTCCTCAGGCTGTCTGCACGGGGTAGGCTCACCACCCACCTGGGGGGAGAGCGTTGTTTCAGGTGTGGAACTACTAAAATGAAGCTGCCAGCGAGTGTGTGAAGTATTTATTTCTCTGCGATGGTCGCCCCAGAATGCCACTGCTGCCTTCCACAGCACCTGCATGTTCCAATTTTTAAGGAACTGCCAAGGGCTCTCTAGGGGCCGCACCACTCCACACCCCCAGCAGTGCATGAGGGACCAGCTGTGGCTGTCAAATCCTGGTCATCTGGACAGATGGTGGCATCTCCTGGTGCTCTGAATTCACAGCCCACTAGCCAACATTGCACACTGTATTTACAAATGCGTATGTTCTAACTCCTTTGCAAACACTTTGAATTAACGAAATCTTCCCCACTAAATCACTGATATACCTCCAGACTCATTAAAAGTATAGTTTATTCCTAAAATCTCTTAAGTTTTTCAAGACCCTACATAAATGTAGTAAGATTCCACTTCAACTACAGAACCTAAATAATTTCCTCATTTGAACGATGATTCAGCAGCAAAGCCGCCTCTCTCTCAGGACAAGTTCTCTTCAGCACTATGAATGCTGGGCTGGGCACGGCAGCTCACACCTGTGGTCCCAAGGCAGGAGGAGGATCCTTGAGCCCGGGAGGTCGAGGCTGCAGCGAGCTATGATGGCACCGCCACACTCCTGCCTGGACGACAGAGCAAGTCCTCATCTCAAAAACACACCCGCCCCTACAAAACCCCACACATTACAAACATAAAATAGGTTATATTTTAATACAAAAAATACTAGTGCACAACTTAGTTCCCCAACCTTCCCATACCGAATTTGAAATCTCCAGGGAGGAAATTCCCGTTCAGGGACACAAACAGCCCAGTCGGCAGAGGTGGGTGCCCTCAGCCCCAAGACGTCTGTGGGGTCTCTGGTGTGATCTGCGGGCACCTGCGACTTACGATGCTTCCCTGTGGCCTTCAGACCTAGCATCCCCGCTATAACCTGAGTATGGGATTCAACCCAAGCGACCCTTAGGGTAGTAAATGTCCTTTCTGTTTTAGTCTAGAGATTGTTGTTCAACTTGATGCGACCCTAAGATGTCCTTACGTTTCCACCTGGCCTACTGGAATCCTGCACCCTTTCATGTTCTCGGGAACGTGCACCCCGTGGGGTTCCTCAGGAGACTCCAGGGACATCTCGTGTGGCCTCATCTCCCTTCCCCAGGGAGAGGACTAGCTATCCACTGCCCGCCTGGCAGACGAGGGAATGCCCAGTGCCCAGGCAGCTGCTGTCAGGTTGGCCCAGGCCTGTAGGGGCTCTGCTCCCAGAGGTCGGGTGGGTGCCGGTCTCAGAGCACAGTTCGGCAGGTGCAGGGCGGACCCTGTTGGGGCCTGCAGCCCGGGCCCAAGGCACACACGCCCGTGCACTGCACAGCTTCCCGCAGCCCCAGGGCTTTGCCCTCTTCCCCCTGACAGGGGCCAACGTGTGGAGAGGTGCAGACCACCGTGAGTGATGGAACAAGGGGCGGGGACGCTCGTGCACCAAGCTCCAGCATAAGGACATGGTCACCCAGGGTCACAGTCCCAGGCCAAGCCAAGGGGTAGGGACTTGAAACTGACACAGCAGCTTCTGCACCTGTGAAATGAGCTGGGAAACGCTGGTCTTCAGGAAATAGTCAAGAAAGTGGACGCCAGGCATGGTGGCTCACGCCTGTAATCTCAGCACTTTGGGAGGGCCAGGCGGGAGGACTGCTTGAGCCCAGGAGTTTGTGACCAGCCTGGGCAAAACAGACTCGTCTCTACAAAAAATAAAGAAATATGTGCCAGGCATGGTGGCAAACACCCGTGGTCCCAACTACTCTGGAGGCCGAGGTGGAGGATCACTTGAGCCCAGGAGGTCCGGGCTGCAGTGAGCCTCGATCACACCACTGCATCCAGCCTGGGTGACAGCGTGACACCCTGTCTCAAACACAAAAAACAAAAAGGAAGTGGAAACGCTGGCTCAGCTCCACGATGAGGCGCTGCAGACGACAAGAGCCCGTGGCACAGACTCGACTCCGAGAAGGGGACCGCGACTGTGTCCTCCCCGTGGTCCTCAAACGTCGCCCAGGACAGGTTCCTCTTAATGGGGCCGACACACAGAAGCTGCACATCCGCGGGCGCATGGCCGGAAACCCTGCAGCTGTCAGCGAAGCCCTAGTGCTGGGCGCCCACGCCCAGGCGTCCCACGGCCAGAGGCACTGGTGGCATCAACTCCTCCACAGAGCCCCCGAGGGAACCCTGGGATGGACCCTCAGACGAATACTGTCCTTCTAAAGAGAAGATACAAGCGTGGCTTCCCCACCTGTCCCCAATACCCCTGTTTAGAAAACATCCTCACGCTGTTAAGATGGGAGCTTTATTTCCATTGAAATCTCTGGCATTTAAACTTGGGAGGGAATCCGGAAGCGGCGTCCACCAACGGGGAACAACCCCAGAGAGCAGGCAGGGCGGGCCTAGGAGCTCCCGGGAGCCAAGGGAGCTGGAGGGTCTGGGGGTTTGGGGGGTCTGAGGGGTTGG